TGTGAAGTCAGTCTTATAAGATTAATGAGGTGTATTTACACAATGAAATATTGTGGTTTTGTGTGAATGTTGCCAAGGAAAGAGATTTCAAGCTTTCAATTTATTATTCATTATTCCACTTTTTTATATGATCACACGACGGAGTTTTACGACTTATAATCATTACTTTGATCAGTGAAAATTAGTTTTAGCAATACTTGTTATTTTCCTCAGTAAACCGGAAAATAAAAAACGTTCTTGGAAACTTGTACTTTTCACTAACCAGAATAATGATTATAAGTCGCTACTCCCTGTTTGACTAATTGTAGATCACAAGATTTTCGCTATTTTGGCGGTCAGTTTAATTCAGACTCAGTAAGGAAATAGCCTCCGGCCAACAATTGATAAAACGGATGAATAACACATTTATTCCTGGATTTTTTTCTCTTCAGCTCTTATTGGAGCCGAAAAAAATCCGGTGAGTAAAATCATGCTTTCATTATTTTTGGACATCTGAAAAAATTTTGATGACCGAATCGATAGCTTCTGAGTTGGAATTCGGATGTCAATTTTTCAAATATCCCAAAAATAATGAAAACAGCTGTAAACCATCGTTATGACATCGAAGAATAACACCCTTATTTCCATTACGGGGAATAACCCTGTAGATCTTCGGTCATATGAGGGTCCCAATTAACCGGGATTTATCTCCTATTCTCGCTGTTTTGGGAATAAAAAAAGACAGTTATTTACTGGATTTAGCCCTGATGGCTACATATAAGCAATAAAAATATTCCAAGCAGTTGGATATTATCGGAGGTGAGGTTTCCGCCTGTATACGACGGATCAGGGTATTTTGATTAATGCCTTCTGATCTTTATATATTTTTGATCTGAGTATTTTTACTCGTATTTACAATGTCATTAATGCCGGCGATTAGATTTTCACGAGTTAAATAATAAAAGATGAAAGCTTGAAATCTCTTTCCTTGGCAACATTCATATAAAACTACAATATTTAATTGTGTAAATATAAATCATTAATCTTATAAGCCTGACTTTATTATTAGACTGTTGGCAAGATATCCCAAAAAAACGACCCAACATACAAGAGATTGTGAAAAGGCTCGAAAAATTGAAGATTCCCGAAATGAACAATGGCTCCCTAAAATTTTATAAAATCACTAAAGAATTGTGTAATTTATACATTAAAGAAAAAAAGAAAGGAAAAAATATTACTATGATTTTTGATTCAATGGAACTCTTTTTTTTAGAGAAACAACAAAAACCGAATGATGTCATTAATTGGTGTTTGAATAATCAAATAAGCTCTATAGTTCAACATATTCTCGCTTTATGTTGTTATAGTGGAAAGTGGATTTCAAAAGATGAAAAGAAGGCTTTTGAACTTGGTCAAAAATCTGCTAAAGGTGGTTATATTGAAGCGTATAATATTCTTGGTGTTTGTTATTCTGAAGGTAAAGGAACTAAAATGGATGAAAAGAAGTCCTTTGAATGTTTTCAAAAAGTTGCTAAAGGTGGTTTTGCTGTGGGTCAATATAATCTGGCTTTCAATTATCGTTATGGAAAAGGAACTGAAATGAATAAAACGAAAGCTTTCGAATCTTATCAGAAATCTGCTGAAGGTGGTTATATAGATGCATTTAATAATCTTGGATATTGTTATACAAATGGTATAGGAACTGAAGTTAATTTTGAAAAAGCGTTTGAATGTTATCAAAAAGCTGCTAAAAAAGGTTTAGCCATAGGAAAATATAACCTTGCAACTAATTATCAATATGGTGAAGGAACTACTATAAATGAAAAAAAGGCTTTTGATTTATATCAAGAATCGATTAAAGGTGGATATTTAAAAGCATATGGGCAACTTGGTGAATGTTATAATATAGGAATAGGAACTAAAATTGATGAAGAAAAGGCATTTGACTGTTACAAAAAGGCTGCAGAAGAAGAAATTATTAATCCTGATATTTATTCATAAATTTGCCTATTTGAATGTAAAATAACTTGTTTAAATAAATTATTTAAGAAAACAAATAGATTATTATTAGTTTTATAACTTATTAACAAGCGAAACTTTGTGTATAATAAATTAAAATTTTTAGCCCACAATTTCAATATTTATTACTGTATTATTAAATATAATTGTAGTACAGGTAACAGTGCAGATTATTTTAATGTGTTTAAAAAATAGTGCAGCTAATAAAAGTACTGTAATCTTCATCCGGATATATTTACAAGGCTAGATAGTATTCGGGTTCAATATTATTTCTGATAAAAGAAATACACCTTCCGACATTCATTTTCCTGACAGACTCCCCGAAATTTATTTTCTAACAATCACTCCTGACAAAACCAATTCCTCAACAAAAACCTTCCTCACGTTTATTTTCTTTTACTCAACATATTCATTTTTCGACAATTATTTCTCAGACATTTATAAGCATTCAATTCTATATTCACTTCCTGAAATTGACTTTCAACCATTATTCCTACATGAATATAGCGATCCTGGCCAGGATCTTAAGTGAATCTAAAACATTACAAATAAAATGACCCATGAATAGAATTGTTGGTGAAACTAAATTGAGCTGGTGAAACTGGTGACTATCTAAAATCTAATTGGCTGCTTACTACAATAACCAATCAGATTTTAGATAGTCACCAGTTTCACCAGCTCAATTTAGTGTCACCAACAACTCTACTCATGAGATCATTGGTTTTATTGGATTATTGGAAAGATCCTAAAAGTCCAATGGGTGTTTCAAATTTCTGTTAATAACCTATAATACGATTTTTTTGTTTACGGTATAGTGCTGTGTAATGTCAATTAAGATATTGTATCATTCCTCATTGATCTAAGTTCATATTATTTTGAATACTTATTGGGGTCTAATGGAATTTATGTTATGCTGTAATTCCATAAGAACCATTAGAAATACAGTATTAAGGTTTTGAGTTATGACGATCCTCATGCTAAATTTAATACAACTAGGAATCGGAAACCGGTATAAGGCTGGAGCTCGCTTCAGCCCCTGAAAAGTATTGTTATGTATATATGTCGTAAATCAAATTTTTCAGGGGCGTTACATCCGGAAAATACCAAAACTACGTTTTTAATATTTTTACTATAAATTATC